AAGGGTTCTGGAACCCTGCTCAGTTTCATTTTGGTTAGTTTCTATTATTATACTTTCAAGTTAACTAATCTTTTCCTCAACAGTATATAATCTGTGGCAGACCCCATCCAGTGTCTTTTTCATCTAATATATTGCAGTTTTATCTATAGAAGTTTGATTTATATCTACCATATCTCTCTAGTCAGCATGTCTAATTTTTTCACAAAAGTAAAAGTACAATTTGGAATATACCCTAAAGAAATTGTATCTGCAACATAAACAAATATATGTTTAATCATGTTCACTAATCACAATAGTTAAGAGATAGCAACAAGCCAAGTGTCCATCAGTGAATGAATGCGTAGAGAAACTATGATATATTCACACAATGAAATATTTTGCTGCATTAAAAACAATGAAGAACACATTAGACACTACACAACATGGATAAGTCTAAAGGACACTAGGCTGAGTGAAATAAGTCAGTCACAAAAGGGCAAATACTTTAAAAGACCACTATTGTAAAAACCAGAAAGAGGTTTAAATATGGAGAAGAAAATTAATGTCTAGATAATGAACACTACATTGGAATGAGTGAAGGGAAGGACAATGTGGAAAGAATGGACAGACGCTGCATTTTAATTAATGTTATGAAACAATGACTGAAAAATAAAAATCATTTTCTAAACTTTACACAAATCAATAAAAAGTCATTTAAAAAGGTGAATCTACAAAAAATGTCATAAATAAATATATCCAGTGTTTAAAGAATTTTTTTAAAGTTGAAATACAACCTTGAATACTTTAAGCCTGACTAGAGATTATCTCAAGAATAGACTGAGATACCAAACATTAATGATCCAAGACGAGACAAGTTGTGGGATGGCATCAGTGACATACATGAAGAAAGGAAAATGTCATGAAAGAAACCAGAAAGAGAGAAAAGATAAAAATGGAAGAGTCTTAGATTTGAACGTAGAGTAGCTAAAGCTAATGAAAGAAATGATGAAGAGCAGAACAGAATATTTGAAAGGATGTCTGAAGAAATAAAATAAAGTATTATCAATTGTGAAATGTACAAAGAACTGGTGATAGAAAACCAGAAGAGAAAAACATGCTTGGTATTTCTCATTCTGAAAGAACTGATGGGGAAAAAAATCCCAAGTTGCAATACTTAAGGATTTTATGTTTAATGATGTAGGAAGGATCAAACAAAGATGGAAGGAATACACAGAATTACTAGACCAAAGTGAATTGCTCAGCAGTTAGCTCTTTCGACAAGTAACATGTGATCAAGAACTAATGATATTGAAGGAAGAATTTCAAGTTACACTAACAACATTTTAGTGAAAACCAACACTCCAGGAATTGTAAGAATACAAAGTGAGATGTTTCTGTAAATAAATGAAACCCTGGAAACATTCTTGTGAATACTCCAAACTCTGGAATACAGTTACTTGACCAACTGCCTGAAAGAGATCCCTCTTTGGCTCCATTCAAAAGAAAGTTGATCCAACAGAATGTAGAAATTACTGAGTTGTATCATTTAAAAACAGATGGAAGAGTACATAGATATGGAGCTGCCAGAAGTTCCAAGAAGGATTTAGAAGAGACCGTGGCACCAGCAACATCACTGCTGATGTCAGATGAATCCGGGCTGAAAGTAAAGAATACCAGAAGAATGTCTATTTGTGCCTTATTGCCTATAAAAAGGCATTTGACTGTGTGGATCATAACAAGTTATGGCTGACATTGAGAAAGATGGGAATCTCAGAGCACTTAACTGTGCTCATGTGAAATCTGTACCAGGTCAGGAGGCTGTTGTGCAAACAGAGTAGAGGAATACTGCATGGTTTGGAATTAAGAAAGGAGTGTGTCAGGGTTGTATTCTCTCTCCAAACCTATTCAATCTGTATGCTAAGCAAATTATTCGAGAAGCTGGACTCTATGAAGACGAAATGTGGCATCAGGATCAGAGGGAGACCCATCAGTAACCTGCATTATGCAGAAGACACAAACTTGCTTGCTCAAAGTGAGGAGGTCTTGAAGCACCTGTTGCAGATGATCAAGGAATGTAGCCTTCAATATGGATTGTATCTCAAAGTAAAAAATACAAATATTATTATTACTTTTGGACCAATAGGCATGATAGATAGAGACTGAAACTGTCAACAGCTTCATCTTGCTTGGATGCACAGTTAACACTGCTGGTTCTAGCAGTCAAGAAATAAGATGTGTTGTACAGGGGAAATCAGCAGTTAGGGACCTTTCCAAATTATTGAGAAGTAATTACTGTCAGTATGAGGACCAAGGTGCATCTGATTCAGGCCATAATCTTTCTGCTCCCTTGCTATGTATCTGAAAGCTTGACAGTGAATAAGTATGTGGTGGTAGTAGTGGTGGTGGTTGTTGTTATGTGCCGTCGAGTTGCCTGTGACTCATAGTGATCCTATGTACAAAACCCTAAACCCTTCTCTGTCCTGTGCCAGTCTCACTGTCTCCAATACACCTACGCCAATTACCCCAGCCACTGAATCAATCCACCTCATAGAGGGTCTTCCTCTTCTGCACTGTCCCTCCACCCTTCCAAGCATGACATCCTTCTCCAAGGACCGGTCTCTCCTTGCAACATGTTCAAAGTATGTCACACAAAGCTTCAGAATCTTTGCCTCCAAGGAGCAGCCTGGTTTAATCCTCTCCTGGATGAACGTGTTTGTTTTCTTAGCAATCCATGGTATATTCAATACTTTTCTCTAGCACCACAACTCAAAGACATCAACTCTCCTTCTATCCTCCCTAGTCATTGCCCAGCTCTCTGATGCATAGCAAGTGATTGCAAATACCATGGCCTGTATCAAGCCCAAATTATTTCCCAGACTGACGTCATTGCTCTTCAGTACTCTGGAGATGTCTCTGCAGCAGACTTTCCCAAAGCAAAACCTCTTTTAATTTCCTGGCTGCTGGTGCCAAGAGTGTCGAGCTTTATTTACATAATATGTAAATGCATAAGAATAACTCTGCCTATTAAAATTTATTCTTTAAGAAGGAGTCTAGATTGGCCCAGGGAATATAGTTTGTTAACTCAACTATGGGGACACTTGTGGCCTAGGTCAACTGAAAACCAACATCCCTAGGTGCTTATAAATTTGCAAGTTCTTGTTCACTGCCTTCCTTTTCCAGTGCACTTAGAAAAAGTCACGTCACTTGTTCATTACCTTTCTCTTCCAATGCTCTTAGAAAAAGTGATATAATAATTGTATCCACATTAGCAACAAAAAAAAAGAAAAAAGTGTGTCCTCCTTGCAAAGTATTCAAGTCTGTTTTGTCTCACTTTAAAACCATTTTTAAAGGCCATTATTCCATTGTCATTTTGACTTCCTTTCTTCCATTTAAAAAAAAAAGGCTCTTATTTGGCAGGTCTTAGGATGCTAACACTTTTTTAAAAGAAAAATTAAATGCTTAAAGGGCATTATTCTCTAGTGCTGAAATATTCTTTTCTACAATCCAATATAGGCAAATGGATAACAGGACCTTTTTCTTTCTTTTTCAAATAAAGCTTGTAATTCTAAAGAAATTCTGCGCTTCTAAAAGGAGCAGATCATTCTCATGTAGATAAATAAAGTCTACTGACTATCCCTCTACCTGCTGTGTTAAGCTGAGTTCTCTAGAGGGACAAAACTGGTGAAGCATGTAGACGTATGTATGTGTGTGCACACACGTAGATATTTTAAAGCAGGAGTGGCATCCACTTCCTAAACAACACGCCTGCAGAAATGTTTTGAACATTCATAAATGTTGATAGTTGTAGAGGGGCTTTGGGCCTTTTGTTTTTAGGATTGCTATGAGTCATGCTTAACTCAAAGGCATTCAACAACTATATAGATAGAGATAGAGATGATAGAGATAGAGATATGTGTGTATATATTATGTATATATGTGTGTGTATATATATATGTAGATATGTGTGTGTGTGTGTGTGTATACACACACACACATACATATATATCTCAAACGACTCGACGGCACTTAACAACAACAACATATATATATATATATAGAAAGAGAGAGAGAGAAGAAAGAAAAAGAGTGTTATTTCAAGGAAATGGTTCATGCAGTCATGGCAGCTGGAAGATCATAAATCATGGGGGTCAGATGCCAGACTAAAGGCTTCTCCTGACTCAGGTTGCATGTGCCATTGAACCTACAATTCACAGGTCAAACAGAAGATTCCTTAGTAGGGTCCAAGAATTGAAGTCCAAAGGGTGACAAATAAAATTCAGAATTGTGTGTGTGAGAGAGTTTTGCCAGAATATCCATATATCCCCTAAGGAGACTGATGGTGCTTAACTGATTGATATTCACCTGATTTGCAATTGATTGTCTGCTCATATCAGGTCACAAAACAGAGGATGATTTTATGTTATATTGCATTATGGCAGAATCCTATGTCTGGCTAACCTAGAATAAATGATATACTCATTGATCACTTCTTATTTGTAGTTGTGACATTGAACAATTATGAGGAACATTAGGTCTTTTGATTGAGTCTTGGGACCTTCAGCAGTGCAGATGGGTTCAGACTGCAGTCAGGGCACTGTATTGAACAATTGACCATAGAGTCTTCAAGGTGATCTCGCCAGAGGAAACCTTTATGACCTAGGCAGGCCTGGTTGAGCTTACTGCTGCAGATGCTAGACCCTGTACTGTTTTCTCAGTGCAGTGGAAGCAAACCCACCCACATTGGCTTTTCTGATGATCACGTTATCAGCCCTGATGATCTATTCTTTCCCTTGGTCCCTGTGGCCTTGAGCCAACCCTCCAGGAAGCAAAGTATTAAGTTGGCACCCTCTATGCATTGCCCTTCACCACATGGTTGATACCTACAGATGTTGACATGTTAATGGAATCATTGGAACCAGTGTACCAATTGGGCTGTGGTTTCATAAAGCAAGGAGTTATCTTTTGTCAACGAGAAGGCTTGTTTCATAGCTTCATGGATCTCTCCCCTTTTGTCTCCTCAGAAATTGCAGGTGTTTCGGTGTCTGAAATTTCTGGGCCTTTCTCAACAGACAACATAGCCAGCAACTGTGTCCCTGCCCTCCCTCTGAATGAACCCATTCTCTGGATCATCTCCTATTCGCTCATGAGTGTATGTGGGATCATCCTTATTGTCTTAATCATCCTGCTGCTACTTCCATTCCGATGTCGGCATCGCCCCCGAGACCCGGAGGTCGTCAATGATGAGTCTTCACTCGTGCGGCATCGCTGGAAATGAACCCAGCCCAGCACCTGGCTAACCTTGAACTCAGCTATGATTGAGAATGATGCCTCAAGTGCAACAGGCAGGGGTATGAGGCCCAGGCTTCCTCCTGTATCCATGAGTCTTAAATCACTGTTCTGCTCCCAGATGCCTTCCAGATTCACTGTATTTTGATTCTTGTTTTTAAAGCTTACTTCCAGGAGAAGAGAAATGATAATAATAATAAAAACAACAACAACAAAATCTTTCTAAACCAAATCCGAGTGCATTGGACTTCAGGCTTTTTGTGACTGGTTATACCAAAACATCTAAACATGACACAAAAAAAACAAACAAAAATAACCTTACAAGCTACTGCTTGTTCTCTTTACTCTTAGATCTCTGAAAAAAAAGTGCATATAGTTTGTAACCTCTCGGTTTGTGGAAATCCTTTTATATCCATTGTATCTAAGGATATTTTGCCCTAGCCCCGGGTCAGTGTGGGAGAAGGCTTACAATATAATAGCAGGAGAAGAAGCCAGGGTGCTGCCGTCTTCTGAGTTGGAAACAGAGCAGCATCCCTTTTTTCTGGGTTTCTCTCTCTTCCTCTCAGTCTATGCTCAGAATTGAGCTGGAATCCACTAGGAGGTCATCCCCTGACAGTGTTCACCAGCCTCTTCTGAAGAAGGACAGTCTTTGCCCATCACAGTAGAATGGGCAGGAAGCCTATCCTTTTTCACCCACTGTTTCTAAGTGTTATTGGTGTAAAACTAAAAACCTACCTCTGCTGAGACTTTGCCCAGGGTTCCATGCCTGGGTGGGGAAGAGGCAGCCATGGCCCTCACCTAGAGGAACCTTTATTCTAGCAAACAGGACATCACAGGTGCTGAACTGTGAATCAACCCAGACACACTGACTTGGAAATGACCCAGCTCATTGTGCCACATACTTACTCTTCTTACTGAAAATTAATAAGCAGGGTGTTAATGTGGAAAAAAAAAACATCTATTTCACCACTTTGATTTGTTGAGAAGCTCTGGTGGCATAGTAACTTCAGAGTTGGGCTCCCAACTGAAAGTCAGCACCAGCCACTCCTTGGGAGAATAATGGGTAATCTCCTTAAGATTTACAGCCTCAGAAACCCAATTGGAGGGCTGTCAAGGCTTATAACCAATCTGCCTCTAAAAGGTCACAGCCTCGAAAACCCTCTGGAGCAGTTCTGCTCTGCACATGTGATGCCATCATGGGTCAGAATCAACTGGATGGTAACTAATAACAACAGTCGTTTGATTTTTCTCTTTTGAGCTTCTCTAGACATAGATGATTACTACTTTTTTGGGAGAAATGGTGAAATACCCATTCTTCTGAGCATCTGTCAGGTAAGGAAGATGATGGGCAGGAAAAACAGAGAATTTCAATGCTTCTCAGTGCTTGGAATCCACATCCTTTTCTTGTGGGATTCTCTGGGCTCTAGCTCACCCTATCAGCGTAAGCAAATCTTAGCAGGTGATCCACATGTTCAGTCTTCAATGATGTGTTGGGAGCACAGTGGTATCCCTCCTTGGAAAAAATCCCACTTGCTTGCATTGTTCAAGGCCTCTGCCAAAGAAAAGTGTAAGCCTTTAAAGTGCTGTAACCCACCCTCTTTTATTATCTGATGTAATTTGGAGAGGAGGTAAAAAGTCAGTATACCCCCCTCTATCGATTGTACATCAAGCTCAGTGTTCTCTTTGCATTGCTTTTGGGATGGGTTGGCCATCCAATAAAAGTCTACTGAAAGGGCTAAGCCTTGAGTACCTCCTTTAATTGGAATGTCATTTGTGTTCATGTGTTTCAGCTACCTGCTCTGCTCACTAGTCCTCGAGCGGTGCAGAGAATTAAGAGCTTGGTTGATAACATAAAGGATGGTGGTTTGAATCTGCCCAGAGTCACCTAAAAAAAAAAGGCTCAGTTATCTACTGCCAAAGGATCACAGCCATTAAAAAGTATGAAGCACAGTTCTGCTCTGAGACACATAAAGTTACATGAGTTGCAGTCAACTTGAAACCAACTGGTTTACTGGCTTTGCTCACTAGATCCCAGACACCTTTTAAAATAAGAATCCCATAGCTCTTCTGAAGACTCAGGGAGATTACTTCTGCATGTCATGGTGTCTTCACAGACTCTGTAACAACCAGATCTTCTGTGAGCTTCTGCGAGAGCTGTTGTTGTTATGTGCTGTCGAGTCACTTGCGATTCATAGCGACCCTATGCACAACAGCCCTAAACTCTGCTCTGTCCTGTGCCAATCGCAGTCTCAAACACACCCATCCCGATTACCCCAGTCACTGAATCAATCCACCTCATAGAGGGCCTTCCTCTCCTGTGCTGTCCCTCCACCCTCCCAAGCATGATGTCCCTTTCCAAGGACTGGTCCCTCTTTACAACATGTCCAAAGTATGTTAGACGGAGCCTCAGAATCCTTGCCCCCAAGGAGCTGCCCAATTTAACCCTCTCCAGGATGAATCTGTTTTCCTAGCAGTCCATGGTACCCTCAATGCTCTTCTCCAGCAGCACCACAGCTCAAAGGCATCAATTCTCCTTTTATCCTCCTTCATCATTGTCCAACTCTCTGATGCATAACAAGTGACCGTGAAGACCATGGCCTGTATCAGATGCACCTTAGTGTCCAGAGAGACACTATTGCTCTTCAAACTTTGGAAAGGTCCCTAACAGCAGATTTTCCCATTGCAAAACGCCTTTTAATTTCCTGGATACTGGTGCAAGAGTGTTGACTATGGAGCCAAGCAAACTAAAGTTGTGAACAATCTCAATCTCTTCACCATCCATCCTGATGTTGTCAGTTGGCCCACTGGTGAGAATCTTTGTCTTCTTGACATTGAGCCTCAGTCCATATTGAAGGCTGCAGTACTTGACCCTCTGCAGTAAGTAAGCGCTTCAGGTCCTCCTCAGTTTCAGCAAGCAGGGTTATGTCATCTGCATATCGCAGATTGTTGATAGATCTTCCACCAGTCCTGATGCCACCCTTCTCATAGAGCCCAGCCTCCCGGATAATCTGTTCTGCATATAGGTTGAAAAAATATGGAGACAGGACACATGCCTGGCATAGGCCATTCCCAATTTTGAAGCATCGTCTGCGAGAGCTGTTAGGAGTTCCATCTTAGAAAGGAAATAATCTCTGTTCTTCAAGACACTGTTAAGTGTGGAAGTAGGGAAAACAAACTGTTATACGATGCACCTGTATCGCTTCTGGTCCTAGCTAGTCAAGAGCTGATCAGTTTCAAAGTACGTTTCTGAGTGAGAACTCTGCTGGTCCAATTCTCTTCCTGTCATCTTGGCTTTTTATTGAATCCTGTTGTGTAACCCACTTCATGTAAAAGTGGAGCCAACCCCCTAATTTGTCCTCTCCTTGCTTCACAAAATTTGGACCTCTAACGTAAAAAGGGGCAACTGCAGGCCTGACCTGGTTAGAGTGGCTGCTTCTTTATGCAGGCGTCCTCTGTTTCATTTTATCGTGTTAGGTTTCTGAGACGGAAAACAATCCTGTGGCAGCAGATTAGCAGGCCCTACTCCCAGCATACATGATGATAATAATAAGTTAGGTTTCAAGTTAGGGTATTTGAATGAATTTCTAAATGCTCTGTATTTCCTATCAAATTTCTCCACCTTTCATCTCAGTTGTCATTGGATGTGACATTTTAATGGAAATACTTAAATTACAAAGGCATAACTTAGCAACAGGAATGAAATAGACAGTTGAATACAGGACAGTTTCCTGGCACGCTGCGCTGCTAAAAATTGGACTTTGAGTCAAAACCCTGTTAGTGACACCCGCCTCCTCAAGTGATGCAAATTGATACTTAGCTTGGCAAATATTCAAGGAGACTTTTTTTTGAAGAGGAAAGGAAGTAGCAGCCCTTTGAGGGTGTCATTTTTACCTTGTGATACACTGTGGAAAATGTTGGAACACCGTCTCTTCCTGAAAGACCTAGCTAATCATGAGGCTGCTGCCAGAAACCTTGCCAGCACTCCAATGGGAAATGGATGCCTCTACGTTAACTATATTATTTTAAACAGAATGATGCTTTTTGTTCTTGATAACTTATTTGGAAGTCTATAATGAAACCCTGCCTTTAGTAACCGAAACGACTTATTTTTTAAAAAAAATGAGATGGGAATAGATTCTATATTTTTCGTTATGAATTCAAGGGAACCTCGGCAATGAGAGTCAAATGATTTGCACACACTACTGTATGTGCACTAGTTCACGTTCTTTAGGAACTTAAACTGCCTGGCATCAAAGAAGCAAATGCCTGGTGTGTAAAGGCAGGAATGGTCTGTCCAAATGCATTTCACTCCCAAATACTCAGAAGGCCTTTGCCCGACTCATGAGGTGCAGAGGTTTTGATGAGAGAGAAATCTGGGGTCAGGTACAGTTCAGAATTGCTGAAGACATTCTCTGCAGTCCAGTTTTACCACCAGCTCCACAGAGCTCGGATTTTTGAGCAGCAGTCATGATTTGGGGATGTCGCTGGAGAGGCATTATTTATTTATTTAATGGGCTCAGTATACAAATGACAATTTGTCAGATTTCTCTTGCCACTTCTCAGCTTTGTGGAGCTGCCAAGCAAGGTTTAGTTCTGAATTCTGGCCTCCTGCCACTTCACGTCGCTGGGAATAAATCACTGCCCAACAGCCTAGTCCATTAAAAAAATATTAATAATAATAATTTCACAAACTTTATCCTTATTAGTGGAAACCAAATAACTGGGTGGAAGCCCAGTATGTTTTCTCTTGCGTAAACTTATAATTAGAACTGATTATGGAATTGTTTAGAGGGAAAACTTGCCACACACACAAAAAAACAACAAATAAGTAAATGGGGGTTTTCTTTTAAGGAAAACAACCAAACACCATAAAATGTAAAATTATGGGGATTTGCCAAGACAGAGATTAGATTTTTAATGCCAAGAAAACTCCACAACTTACTGTGTGCATTTCTTGTGTGTTTTCAGATACTCAGATCTGGATTCATGACAGTTTACCAATTAGAAAGCTAGAAAAACAAATGTACAGAGTGGGGAAGAAAACTCAAAGTAAAACGAAGCAGTTAGCTTCCTGGGTAAAGTACCTTTAACTCCAGATATTTTCAATTTTCTTTTACTTTTAAAGTTTTTAAAGCAATTAGGAAGGTGATTTATTTTAAAGCTGCA